GATTGAGCAAATAATTTCTATTCTACTGAATGTTCTTTCACAAGAAAAGACTGGAAAAAAAACGATTGTTTAAAAACATTCTTTTTTTTGAGTCATTCCGATCATTATCACTATTTCAGTCTTTTTAAAGACCACCAAAATCTACAAACACATAACTTAGACAAATAAGCACAAATTCATGAGCAATAAATGTATTCTTCTGTGCAAGGTTAGAGAATCCCTTTCTCTAATAATCATTGGGTGAGAGGAGGGGTGCACCCAGGACAGGTCGCCAGTCCACTACAGGGTAACACAGAAACAAAAGACAAACAGTAACAAATGCACATTATTACCTATTGGAAATTTAAAGTGAAGAATTCATCTAACAGTAACCTTTTTTAGACTGTGGAATGTACCTGGAGTACCCAGAGAGAACCCACACAGTCACAAGAACATGCAAACTGGATAGAAAATGAACCCAGAGTGAATTCAAACCAAGGAACTTAAATATATTTGAAAATATATTTATTGTTCATGGATTGCTATCAATGTGCAATAAAACATTATCAAAAATATTTACAATATACATATAGAATAACCAATTTAAGAATTAAGTGAATTAAATCACATGAAAAAAACATAATTTAGTAAAAGCTGGCTAACTAAAAAGTTATTCCAATAAAATGTATTTTCATGCTCGGAGAGAAGGGTTTGTCTCTGTATGTGCTTGTGTATCTTTATTCAATATATATTTATATTTAATGTATATTTATATTTAATGCCTTCTTTGTTTTATTTGTTTTATTCTTGCAGGGTCTCTCTACACCTCAGGACATATTAGCTCATTTTTTATATTTTATGTGGTTACAGTTAGGATAACTTTTAATATTTTATGGCATGCAAAATTCAAATATACACCTCAAGTAAGTGATTGCTGTGTTTTTAGTTTTGATTAGCTAAACAGCAATTGTTCTTGTTTATGGTGCAACCAGCTAATGTCATTCTTTTCAGATGATAACCCATAGGATGTCCTGTGAAATCTTTAAAATAAACCTTTAGTGCATACCTCAGTTAAACCCTAGATCATTAACGGAGGTGTTGGAGACCAGCATTACCAGTAGGTTAGCAGGATACTATGGAGACTGAGAACAGGCTGATGGACATACATCGATGGCCAAAAGAGTTCAACTACGGTATCTTATTAATGAGAACAGTACCATATTCTCCATCACTCCTCCTAATGTCACCTCTCATGCTCACCTGCTGTATGTAAACATCAAAGTACCTGGGAAAGAGCATGAAGGCATTGCTTTTTACAGACATAATGCAACTGTCCTGCCATAGACAGGAGTGGACGATTTGGAGGATGTACAATCTAGTGTCCTATCATTCGAAATGATTACATGATATCCTCTTAAAGAATAAGTACTTTTTTGTTTCTTTAAATACATACCATGAAAATGTCCAGTCAGTGCATAAACTACTGTTTAAATTGTATTTCAATCATGCTAGAGTAAGGATGATAATAATAATTTTATAAGTTTATTGCATCACTTTCAAGTTTGTCTGTTTTTTTGCTAGAACTGCAGCTGTTTGTCTTTTTTTCAGTGGTCTCCTTCAAACCGCAAAAACAGTAAATATCACTTAAATTAATGGCTAGGAAAAATACAGTTTATCTCTATTTTTTAATTCACTACCAAATACAAATAATTACAGAAACATCTTCAATCGTAACTGCTGTTTCTTAAATTTCTCTCATTAAGTTCACCCGATGCATCCCTCTTTCAAGCTGACATGCTTATATTACATCTTCAGGGATCTGCATGGAGCCTTTCCTTTAATGATCCATAAACACCATGCCGGTCTCACACATACTGACGGACACCTTTAGTTACAATCATGCTCGGTATGCCAAGAAAAAAAAAAGAAAAAGAAACAGAGCCTGTGGCTGAGTTTTCATGAGTCAACAGCCATGCCTGCCAGTGGCATTCATAGTGAGTCATATTTTCAGGAAGAAAGAAAGAGACACACAGAGAAAGCGATAGGTGGGCCTGAAGTCAGGACCACCTCATTTACTACAGTCATTCCTTAAACAGCATTTTAAAGTCTATTAATGTTGTTTCAAATTATGCCTACTGCAGTTTTTTTTTTCTTAATGTCAGGTACTACTGAATGCACAGGAAGCCACTATTAAATGCTGAGGCATTTTTAAGCATCTTTAATCATCCTTTTCTCTGAATGATTTCCACCAAGTATCCAGTCAGTGGCATATATAGTGCTATTCCCTCCACCCTTTTCATTTCTTTGTTCTCCTTAATAGAGTATTGACACCCACAGTTACCAAATCTCTTCTCAGATCCACCCTCTTCCTTCTTCCCTCCTTTTTTTCTCCCCACTTGTTCTGGCCTTCGCAGGAGACTCTCAAGGCACAGCATGTGGCTGCCCTCACCGCACAATTGTCGAGCATAAACCGATCGTTTCACCTAACCTAATAATACCAGCATTCACTGCAGATGCACATGTCTCCTACTTGGGCTCTCTGCGCTCCATCCAGCTCTTTGTGGATTCCATCTTCCCATCTCCCCACCTTTTGTTATTTTATTTCTCTCAATATTCACATCTCCTGCAACTCTCACCTATTTAGTCTAACTTGTCTTTCCCATCATATTCCCTTTGTGTTAAATTTTGTTACCATATTTAACCAAATAGTCATGCGCCGCTCAGTGCTTCGCAATCTTTCCAGCACTTCAATCGCTTGTTGCTTGATGTGCTTTCAGGTCATTGTGACCTGCTACACAAAATAGAGACAAGCATGTTTTTCCCTATCTGATGCAAAATGGCAAATTTTACTTTCTTCTTTTTCTTTCTGTAAGTGGCATGGATCTCATATGTGTGTTTCTCTGCTAAGCATGATGCTCGAGTGCAGGGAAAGTGAAAATAGGCAACATGGTCCCAGTTGCATCCTGCAGTTTTTACCATTTCACCAAATGTATTAAAACAAGAACAGCATTTAAACTTTCTGGTCATCAGCCTTCTTTAAAAGAAAGGTTAATAGAAGCATTAATATTATAGTGGCAAAAGATAAGCAAGAGATAGCAAGTAACAAAGCACTACATTAATTTCAGCTTACAATTGATTATGCTGTTTCTTCTGTCTACTTCTGAAAGCAAACAGCAACTGAATAGACATTAATATACCCTACCCAACATTTCACAATATCATTACAGATTTTTCAAACTGCCAGTAATATCTACCAACAACAGCCATTACATCTGTAAAACTCCATCCCTACACCAACCCAAAGTTGACCCTATATCAAGCATAAACAGTTAAGCAGTTGGGAGGAAAAAATAATGTTTATAATACCTTCATCAGTATCATTTGAAAAGTATTCTGGCCTTAAAAGCTGTACTTATTTTAAACACTGACTGTGGTTAAACTAAGAGGAATACCTGCAGGTTAAATTCAAGTGCAAAAGCAAATGTCAGTCCAAGTAGAGTTGAACAAACATAAATAACCTTTCTTCTTAATGCTATGTTCTCGAGGACAGAGTTCATTTCATTTCAGTTTTCGTTTACTGTGTGCATGGGTGGTTTGAAGAGAGTTTTAACCACTGGGCTGAAGCCAATTGCGTTATCTTTTATTTAAAAAGATACATAGATTACCCATGCAAAAGACTATTAATAGTTAGGCACATGTCTGGATTATAACTTATAGACCTAGCCAACGTGAAAATAGATATTTTATAGCATTTTTAGAAAAATCGACATCAATATATATATTGCAATAATCAAAATAATGGTATAGAAACGTTATATTTCATATATGCTCTCATACAGCCAGGAAAATAATCTATAATGAATCAGTACAATATGATCTAAGAAATTAAAGTACCAAGTTGGAAAAACTCTTTCTAAAATCAGCTCAATATTGTAAGACCTTTAGCCATATTGCTGCTATGAAACAAGAGAAACGCCATTATTACCTCTATTCCACATTTGCCAGCCAGGACATTGTGTTTTATTTAATTGCTTCCCATTGCAGACCACTTCGCAGCAAGGGTAAATACAGCAGCACTTTCTCTCTGTTTTTTTAAGACAAAACACCCATCTGTTTTTGTTTTTTTGTTGTTGTTGTTGTTTTTTTTGGGGGGGGGTTGTTTATTTTTGGTTAACACTCACTTGTCCATGCAGTTAAAGGCAACTAATTAACTGAACAGTCATATTTTTCAGCTTTGGCAGGAGTACCCTGAGAAAAAACACACAAGCATGAGAAGAATATTCCAGCACATGTACTGTGGAGGTAGAACGCAGGCTGGGCTACAAACCCGCAAACAGCCATGAAAGACAGGATAAGTTCAAACAAATGTGAGAAATTCTAAACACATGCAGAATAAACCAGACTTTGTAAAACATGACACCAAAACATAAGGAATGCAGCATGGACATTTTATAAGGAACTTGATGAAATCAGCTCTCTCTTTAGTCAAATAAATTAAGAAGCTAAATGAGAGATAAACAAAAAGAGATTGAGTGACATCACTTTTATCCTCATCAGAAAGCTGCAGTTTTCTACTTATAAACATCTATTTGGAAAGATTAGATCTTTCTTGGTGTTTCAATCTCAATCCCCCTGCAGACATTGTATTCCAGGCCTTAACTTTAAGATATGCAACAATAACTAATTAAAACCAAAATGTGCAGTGGAGAAGATGAGATTATGGTCTTTATGGGCTGATTTGTGGCATTGCAGACTATATGAAAATACCTTTTTTGGTATTTGGTAATACAGCAACAATTTTATTACCAGGATTTTGCTTTTCTACTCTCTTTTCCATAGCATCAGTGGCAAAACTTAAAAAATAGGCATCACTTCTCAGATCACAATATCTGCAAATTTCTACTGCAAGTAAGAGTTTCAGCTCATCATCAATGCACAGATTTTTCCAACATGTTCTCAATAACCACCACAGTCCATTGCAGTAATAAGGTAAGTGTTTGCATGGGCATTAGGTAACTTACCTTGACGGACATTCAAAAAGGTGTGTCCAGCATTTACTGCACTAAACCCCGCAGATATTGCCTTCCCTGGTGCAGCTGCCCGTTGAACAGCATGAAAGGGTAGTATCCAGTTGCTTCTTTACGGATCCGGTGCTCCCAGAGGCATTTTGGCGAGGAGTACAGTGAGGACGTCGCTGCGGTGCAAAGCCCGTTTCTCCCCCGGTGCAAAATGTTGAATCTGCGTTAAAGCCTCTGGCTGGTGCACCCCAAAACTCACATTTTCACAAAAAAAAAGAGAATTATTTAAATCACATTGAGCGAACTTTTTTTTTTTTTTAAATCACCCAAACTGAGCCGGTGGATTTAAAATAAAATCAATAACCAGAGTTGCACTTTAAGCCGTATGCGCAGAGGAATTTGGGAACACTTCTTTTTCCATCATGGTCACGTTGACTCTGCACGCTGCAAAAAAAGAAAATATTGAAGCCAGCAATCTCTGACAAAGGGTGAACACCTTCGTAGTCCCCTCATCTCCAAAAAAGTGTTGCACATTTTCCTATCCCATTTCCATTCGAGAGCTATTGATTAACTTGGCAGTTTCCAGAGGTTTTGTGCAAAAAACAAGGCGTGTCAGTAAAAAAAAAAAAGATAAAGCAACAGTTAATTTCCCCCTCTGACTGAAGCATCACATTTTCAGAGAGAGTATCGCCTTCACTACATCATCTGCTCAGATTCCCTCCGTGGAGCGAGCGTTGAAAGGGCGCACCGGCAGCCGAAATATGCTGGAAAATATGTATAAATATATTTTTTAAACAAAATCTGTTTTTTTAAACTAATTTCCACTGAAGATCAAATGCACTTTTTAAATCGGTTTAATTTGTTTAAGACAAATTGAAACATAATCCATTTTTTTATTTCCCATTGAAAGTGCGCGCGCGCGCGATTGTGCGCAAGGGGAACGAGAGAGACTGAGGGGAGTAGAGAGAGACAAGAACATAATGGTGAAAGAAGGTTTGCGTTTTGTGTTGCAGCATTAAATCACTCTTATCAAATAACCTGAGCTAAATATTGTTAAACTCTAAACCTTCATTCACAGGCCTTTAATAGAGAAAAGAGTCAGACTACACGTCTTCCTCTCTTTACTTATGTTGCATTTTTTTCCCTACACATTGCACCATTTTAGGCTTTCAAAAGAAACTATGGAACCGAAGTAATGGGGACCTGAGCAGGTGAATAGTTAGGAAGGAAAAAAACGAGTTGTGAGCGGTTTCTGTCCTCTCTAGATCGGAGCGGCGAGCGCGACTTAACGCTGTATAAGGAGAGGTGAGTTTGAAAAGTGCGCAAGGGACCGTAGAGGAAGGGGGGCATATGTCACTGAGATAGAACGAGCCATTGAACATTGTTTTAACTGGTATTGGAAATCCTACCAAGACCCATCTTCTACTCGAAGGCTTCTTGATTGCCAGACGTAGGAGCCGCTTTTTTAGAGCTGTCCAATGTGCTGAAAAGGGCTTCGCAGTGAATGTCTCTATACCTTATCAATTCTTGACGGGTTCACTGGTTGTAGGCAAATAAGTTAACTGCTAAGTTTTTATCTTGTATCGATAACAATAAGTCTGACTAAAAACATGTGTATGTATACATCTTTTTTTTTGTATCTCAAACATATCCATTTAAACAGCTTTTGACATCAAAAACCTGACTTTTCTGTTTATCCCCTTTGGGAAAATGGCTACTTTACTGAGATTGAAAGGAGAGCATCTGTGAAAAACAATGTTAAGGACCTGCCACAAATTGTCCTTTGGATTGAGGTCTACACAGTTATTATAAAAGATAAATATATTTCAGCATAAATTCGTCGATTTTAACTCAAGTTATTTGTTTAGGGTTTCAGTTCTCTTGGAGCTAAACCTCACCCAAGTCTTTGTTTTGTTGCCCTTAAAAAACAGGTTTTCTTTCAGAAATATTCTATGATGAGCTCCACCCAACTTGCAGGTTACCTTTCCCTGCTGATGGAAATAATTCACACAGCCAGGTCTTTACCCCCCATTTTGCCCTAATTCATTTTGCTTTTTGTTTAGTCCCACAGACAGCTAAAAAGTCAGCAGGGCCACTCTTTGGAGCTGTCCAGTGTGCTGAAATTGTGTCAGTGCAGACAATCTTTCTCTGCCTACTTTTGTCTGAATTAACATCATCTTTACTAATGATTTTACCGGACTTTGAAAGTTTCTTTAAAACTAAGTTTAGGGCAGTGTTTTCTTATTCTAAAATGATTTATATTTTGATAATAACAAAAAGTCAGCTTATAACAGAGAGATTGTTGTCATATTTCTCTTATAAATCTCCCTAAAACTACAATGTGTTCAGTAGATCGCACAAAGATTAATTTAAAGTAACCCCTTTTATAATCTTAACTTTGCTCTTAGTTTTTTAGACTATATCTTTATATAATTTGCAAACTAAACACTCCCGCTGGATGAGAGAGTCTATGAAGATAGAATCTCTGGAAAAGCTATTTTGAATTTAAGCTTAAGCATTTATTGAAAAAAAAAACAGTGCACTAACTTGCTTTGATCTGTATCTTTCTGTTTTATATTTTTGTGTTGTGTTGTGTAATGCTGGGAAGTGAGTTTCTTCCCCAGTCTCAATATAGCCCAAATCACTGTACACTACCCTTTTGAAACTGTGCCGTAAATCGTCCAAGCACAGTAATCGAGATAACTGTTGAGGGTAAATGCAAAGCAACTGAACTGGACCATGTCAGAAACAGCCGCACCGCGCTAAATCTAGCACTAGTTCAACAGTAGGGCTCGGCACAGTCACAGTTCAGGCATCAAAAGAGCGTGGTGTGACCTGGGATGATGCAGAGACTGATGCTGATCCTGAGAGCTGTAGTATCATGGACCGCCGATAGGATGAAAAGAATGGTGCTAGTATGATGGGAAAATGGTCGTAAGGAACCAACTGCAACATTGTTAAGTTATCCAAGCTTGGTCCGAACGTGGCACGGATCAGTTTCAGAGATGCCTGCAGTCTTAAACAGCTTCTCTTCTAGGGTTGCCAAGTAGGAAACTCCCTCCATTTTTGAATCAATGCTGATCAAATTACCTGACCCTGCGATAAAAAAAGACCAACCAGCATAATGCTGCCACCACCATGTTTAACTGTGAAAGGGGAGCGTAGACCATAATGTGTGTTGTTTTCCTCTAAATTCAGCACTCAATATGTAGGTCAAAATGTTCAGTTCTGCTTGCATCTGATCAGAGCATTTTTCTCATCAGATTTGTCTCTTATCCTTCATGATTGGTGGAAAAGTTTGAAAAGGCATTCTTATGCCTTTCTTTCAAAATAGATTTCTATTTACCACTCTTCCATAAAGGCAGATTTTGTGTTAAACTTCTAATGGTAATGGTCCTTTATAGGTCCTATGTAGGACCATTACCCTAAACCTTAAGGACTCAGAATACCCATTCTATAAGTCACTTGGCTGTTGGGTAAAATAGTTATCTTCTTGCCCAACCCTTCAGTTTAGGCGGATGGCCATTTATTTGTAGGTTTGCTGTTGTGTCTGATCTGTTTAGAACTCTGTATGATGTTTTTATGATCTAATCCTTTTTTGTAATTTCTCTACAACTTTATACCTCAGTTGCTGCATTACAATTCTTTTTTCACAAATAATTTTGAACAAACCTCTAAGAGCTTCCCAAAACAACATTGTTAATACCGACTATAAATTACACACAGGTAGACTATCTACAAATGAATTAATTTCTTAATAAGGCTAAATAAGAACACATTGCAAATTTAGAGTTTCTCATTCATAAAAACTTATGTATAAATTAGAGTTTTCGATTGCAATATAACAAGCTGAGTAAAATTGGTAAAAATTTTGCAAAGTACCTTAATTATCTTCAGTAATTAAGTCAGTTTTGGAGCTTCTCAGCATGAGACCGCAAAGAATAAAAAAAGAAATAAAAAGAAGGTATGAAAACTGCATGTTTTTCACATTCTGAAGTTATAACTAATTCAAGCCACTACATTCGAAAATACCCCCAGTTGCCAGCTTGAGGTAAAGTCTGTTATTCATAAGTGGTGAATAATTAAGGTCTCAGGAGCACACTTGAAAGAGGGAATATTTGCTGACTGGTGTGCTTTGTCTAGATTTGTACTTAGGGGTTGTACAATAGTTGAATTGGGTCGTAAGCAAGTAGTAAAGACACCTGAAAAATAATCCTTTTGTTAAAGAATATTTATTTACATATCTACTCTTTTGAAAAGCAAGATTGGATGATTTTGAGGAAAGCCTTGACTTTTTATGTCTTAGCAACATTTTTATAATGGTTGATAACTCATAAGGCTAAGAAACATAACACATTAAGAAAAGGAATCACACTGATCAGCTTAAGAAAATCGAGGGCTGCATTGCACCAGTGACGGCTTCATGGTGACAGGCATTCCTATTGCTACTGCTGGTCTCTATGGAAAGAATAAGACTTGTAGATTGCATCACATCACAAAACATCACGTCGTCTAGTGCCAGAACACATCCCATCACATCAGGTCATTTTATGTCACATTGCATGGCATCACAACAAAACAATCCAGTAATGCACAAACATTGTGAGTCACATATAGTTTGGGTGTTTTGTTTTGTTGTTTTTTTTATTTGAGGCAGTAACTCAAAGGCAGGATTTATGTACCAAGTGTCCATCATGGAAATGAAATATAAATATTTATGAAAGTACTGAGATAAATTCTTTCAATGTGCTGTGCATATTAATACGTGCAGAGACAGGAAAGGATGGTTAATTTAATGTAACTAAGGTTAGAGATTCTCTACTTGATTCCTAAGACGCCTGAAAAGGGAACTCATTGTTATAATCAATTATGCTTGCCTATTAAATGTTGTTTGTTTACCAATGCTGATAAATAGATGGTTAATTTAAAAAAGTTAAGGTGAGAGGTATTTTATAGGAATGCAAATATACAGTTATTTACTTATACAGTCAGTTATATGCAATGACAAAATCATGAAAAACTTTGATATCTTTCATGTCAGTTTGAATGAAGGCTGGTTTCTACCGAGATGCCAGTTGTGCACAGCCTCCAGCTGTTTTGAAATGCTGCTTCATTAACCCGCCTTTGTCCTGAAACAACTTTCCTTTCAGTCATCTCTTCTCGCTTAGCAACGTTTTGTCGTTGCTTCTCCTTTTCCTGCCATGTGTCTTCATTGACTGGACCAAAACTAACCATCAAGGAAGCAACAGCATGCCTTACCATTATGTTGTACATAATATTCTTTTGTTCATCCCTTGCTGAACTGCAACTAGTGAGATGGATGTTAAGGAAAAAATGTCCCACAAGCCCAGGAGATTGAGGCATTAAAATTATTTGAGATGTATCTGCCCTTTTTAAAAAGATGTACACATATTATTCTTCTTCAAATGGACATTTTTCGGCACATGATAGATTTATTTTTGCTTTTTGTGAAATTTGATTTACAAAAATAAATTGTTCAAACACCTTATATGAACTGTAATCCAACGTACTATTCTTACCTTAAATACTTCTGAATTAAGTGTAATGACAACTTAAAACCTATTTATTAGTTAAAAATTAATTTGCACATTCCAGTCTGTATTTAGATCCAATCATATCACAGAAACTGCA